AAAACTCAGTCCTGAAAGACAGCATCCGCAAGAAAAACTTCTGTTCACTTGTTTGTATTTACCGTCTGCAATTGAACCTTCTCTTCTGGTAATCTCTGAAAAGCAATATAGTTTTATTATTTCTGATGGTAAAAATACAAATATATTGTTTCCCACCATTATCAGCACTAGCAAGCACGGCAAGTATTCACCTATTTGGTGACTCAGTACAGACAAAACAGTACCTGAAAGTGTCAGGAAATGAAGAAAGTTAAAAGGGCTCAACAACAGATAACAATAAAACTGACTATTCACAGTGATCCCAGGTTCTTTGAAATAGCTGGGCAGTAGAAGATTGATGGCCTCCGTGTTACTATTCAGTTGCTAGAAGTGAAGCAAGCTTGGTTCTAAACCAAGCAGAGCTGGGATCGCAAGTGCTGCATGTGTGTATCCCCTGAACCTGTACGGTGCAGTAGGCGTGGTGTCCTGCACTAGCTAAATGTTTCCCGTGTCTCAGTCTGGTACTTATTGAAGTAATCTAGAACTGAAGCAACAAAGGCCACGGTGAGAGGTGGAGAGGCCAAATGCCAACTGGAAAAGTACTGTAATCCTCTCTGCACCTGGCAATGTGGGGAGAATACTGTATTACAATATGTTCATCTACCCTCGTATTTTATGTAGCTTCTTGGGGATAGGTGACTCAAAAACATCCCCTAGGGATTATGCTGCAACTTGTATCTTCTTCCCAACTCTGTCCTCAGCTGAAACAGCCCAAGTCACAGCAACTATTCCCTGCTCCGCAGAAGAAAAGCGGTTGAGCAGGTGTCCTCTCAGAAAGGACAGTCTGCTGGGCTGTCTGCCTCTCGTAACTAATGAGTGTGGCACTGGCCTGGGAGTGGGAGGGATGAGGCTGGCAATGCAATCAAGCCATTGGAAATTTCCTGCATCTGTTCTGCTGCTGCACAGCAGTCCCTGATAAAAGGAGATTTGCCTTTAGACTGGCTGTCTCTTCAAGCCTCTCGGCTGGTACTGTTTCTCTGTTGCTTGTCATTTGGCTTTCACCGAGCATCTTCTGTTGGGGAATGCTCTGAGCCAAGGGAGGAAGGTGTTCAGAGCTGAGTATCACTGTTTTGCAGAAACCAGGTTCCAGCTCCCTCTCAATCTTGCATCCCTGTGCAACAGGAGAGAGAGGGCTACAGGGAGTGCTGAAAACTGCCTGGCTTTCTTGGGAAAGACTGAATAGCTGCCTAATAGAATTGCTGGGTTTTCCTCTAAAAAGGATGACAACTGCTGTGAGCTGATCTTGTGAGAACCTGGCAGGCCTACAAAAAAATGGGTTAATCCGCTAGAACACCTTGTACAAATCAGCTGCTATTAGCCAGCCACTATGACAAGCTTGCAACAAAATCTCTGCACCGTGCCCAGGTCCAACACCAGGCTAACTGGAAACCAATGGATTTACAGCTGGGGGGTTATTTCTTAATACATAAGCATGTCAGAAAGAAGAAACTGCAGTTACAGTCTTCCTTCCAGCAGGATGAGGTTATCTGGGAACACTTACCTGAATCTCTGTAGGGAACAACCTCTGCTGGTATGCCTAAAATATTACGCAAAGATGATGTAGATTAATATCCGTAATGAGTATGCATATCTTGCTGCCAGTCTTAGCCCATGCAACTCTTGAAATTAGTGTGGTTGTGTAAATGTGACAAGGTAGATACCAACTCTAACTCATTAGAGGGGGCAGGTCCGTTGAGGGTTATGCAGTTTGAAAGTGGGAAACATGAATGGATTATTAACCCCCCATATTCCATCTCTCACAATATCTGGAGTCAGGTAGAATCAGACTCCTGTGAGACAAATTAGATCTCCTAATGTCAATTCAAAGAGCTGCTCTTACATCTGGGCTGAGATCAATTTAAGACATTAATTAAATGATTAAAGCCTTAACTTCTTTACATCCATGGTTCTATACCATAAGCTGATAGCTATTTCTGTGTGTTGACACAGCACATTTTCCTCATCTGCATTGTACTTATTTTCCATTTTTCCTTTGGAAGGAAAGGAAAAGCCTCGGGAACGAGATCCAAGGTGTGGTCCTTGCTGATGATCTCCAGTCTGTGCTGATGCTGACTGCAGGCCCTGTAAGTAGTGGCTGCGACAGATATTTTCAAAACAACTTGCTGCATTTCAGTGGCAACTGTGCAGACACAGGCAGCAGGACTTCTCCCACAACAGTAGATTTTGCTGTTCTCCTGGTTCAACTCGAAGCACAGGGCATGGCTGAGTGTTACTATTACTTGAGCTTCATCTTGTAGGAAATGCCTTTCCTACAGCCAAATTCTGGCTGGTCGTTTTCCTACGTCTATACATGTTAATATACCTTTGTTCAAAAGTAAACCAAAGAATGCCAGAACTTGCTTATCCTTTTTTTGGTTCATATTGGTTGTCTCTAGTAAAAACCAATACTGTTGTCACTTTGTCCTACCTCCGAGTAATTGGCCTTCAGTCTTCTGTCTTCCTAAATCTTCCCCATCACTGTCTTGATAGAGAAAGTGTTTTTTCATCAGATTAAAGAAAAATGTGCCAGCAGTATCAGAAACAGCAGCACTGCAGTTGTTTGCTCATAATATAATAACGGCCGTGGGATATCTAGGTAACAATCAAGGCTTTGAAATGCAAGGATCATTATTAGCTGCTTTTGCCTCACAGCTCTCTTCAAAGCTGGCTGAATAGGAGAAAAACAGTAAAATCTGAAGTTGGAATAATTTATATAAAGGGGTGTACTGAGAAAGTTCTTATTTTAAACGCATACATCATCAGCACTGCTAATTAGTTTGAAAATTTTATTTCTAAATGCAACTCATTTGATCTTAATCAGCTAGTGGCTTTCTGTGACAGAATAAGCCAGTATCAGCACTATCACTTCCATGTTGCCTGTCACTTCTTAGTCTCTCTCACTTTCCACGAATGAAATGGTCTAGTGGCAGCCAAAGTAACTTTAGATACGCTGTTGATGTTTGCTAATAAGAAAAGAAATGCTAGAGAAGTACTATAGCTTTGCCAGCTACTACTGCGCATTGACTATCCTTTGCCTCCTGCTATAGCGCAGGCTTCAGTTAGACCATAACCACGCTGAAGATCATAGAAGTTACGATCTTCTGTTTGGGAAGAAATCTTGCAGCAGATTTCTACATTTCTGAAACCTCCAACTTCACAAGAGCGGGAGGCAGCCACTATTTTGCTGATAATTAATCTAGAGGTACTGATTATTTTCTGTGTTCTCTCTTTTGCACAATTTCTTACTTTTTTCAGAGTTCTGCAGAATTACTACTGAATTGCTGCAAGTCTCCTATGGGAATCTCTTATGAACACGCAATCAGACTAAATTATGTGACAGGGAAAAATAAATCCTCTTTACCTTGTGTATCTTCATCCATGGACTCATGGGATGAGCTTTCAGCCTTTTCTTCCCCTTGTGAAAGCATGAGATTCCTTTCCAAGCTCTTCAGCAGTTTCAATTTTTCATCTGTTTTATATAGAGAAAAAAATGTTAGAAGCAACTATTTACGTTTTCTCTCTTTTACAACGACAGATTTCACAATGCTTTATTAAAGTTGTCTGACAGGAAATCAGACCCTTAATCATGTTTCAGCTGTGTTTTTTGCACACGAGGAGTAGTACAAAGCATTACAAATGAAAGCATCGTATACGCTACCGTTCACACTTTCTTAAATGGTTGTGATAGATGCCTAAAGTTTCATATTCTGGCCTTTAATTTACCCATAATGATACCCCTGTGAAAATTCCCACTCCCTGAAGCGACAGCAGCTGCAGCTGAAAGATGCTTTAGCTGAAGTTGCTCACCCTTCCCTGGGCTACTTCTCCCTTCACCCCTGTGATTTCTGCTGGGTCCCCTGTGTATATGCCGCAGTGCCAGCACCCTCTTGTGGCATAAAAGCAAAGCCCTCAAAGCCAGCCAGGCCAAACCACCGGGGAGGAGGAACCTGCGGGATGCTGACTCCTGGGCCAGGCAGTGAAGTGCTCCTGGCTTGTGTGGCTGGAGTTGCAGGGGATTCTTAACAGCTTCAAATTCAGCTCTGTGCTGAGGGCTGGCGGGTCTGTGCATCTCTTCATTATTAGTTGTAATACTTGGACATAGGCAGCTAGACGTGATTCCCCCGGGGCTGCTCGATGCCGCTCACTGTACAAGAGCAGGAAGGGGGTCCCTGCTGTGACAAACTTTCCTACTCTGACAGATGACAAAAGCTGGGCTGCTCTCCAGCCTGGGAGGTCTCTCCCCTTCATGAACGTGTTTGGTCAAGGCAGAAACAGGAACAGGATCTCCTTGAGGGTCTCCAGTTCAGGGTCATCTTAAGTGAGTGCAGCTCTGTGATCTATTAAAGACAGTTAATGACTCTATGGACCCTGTGGAACTGCACTTAGTTTCCTATTGCACAAACGGGCAAATGAGAAGTGCAGTGGAGTCTATTTGTATCTTGTTGCCAGGTTCAGCACCCTGAGTGGCATCATCCTCTATCCACTCCTTTTTGTTACCCCTACGTGTGCTGCTAGGTCATTTGCAAAAATGTGTTCAGTGGCTCAGCTTGGATTTCTTACCACTATGAGAGCTCACATTGGTCCAGGCTGGCTGGATAACAGTCCATGCAAAAAAGTGTCCTGGGTGTCATGAATCCAGCTAGACAGGAAAAACTGGGGCACCACTTTAAGTCAGAGAGATTTCTTTGGCATCATCATCCCAGGACATCCTCTCTCCCTAAACACACAAGACTTTTTCCCCAAAGTAAAGTAAAATACTATCTTTGGCTCCCATGATCGCCATACCTAACTGACTTTCCTAAGCAGTATTTCCAGACATTTTAGTTGTTCAGTAATAATCACTTCCAAGCATATATCAGAGTTTTCAAACTGGTGTCAAGTCCCACTGGCACTGCAGTAATTTTAACAAAATAGCTGACGAGCCGCCAGGTAGGCCTCACCCTTTCCCTTGGAGCTGGGCAGCTGCCTATATCCAGATGGGTTGGTTGTCTTCAGCAAGAGGTAAAGAACAGCCATTGCCCTGACTCCTTCCTTCTCTATGGCTTTCAGGCAGGCTGCACAGCCTCCAGGCAGGGCATTGCAGCTGTTGAGGAGCTGAAAGAAAGGTGAGTAAATAGCAAATAGTCCTTCCAATAAAACGTAGCCTGTAAAAACATATCCTGCTATACAAATGAATATATTTCACCCCATCCGTGGGAAATGTAATCCCCTGCCTCTACTATACAAGGGGGAAATCGGGGACAAAGAGTAATGCCAAAGATGGGAAGAGAGCGTAAACTCCATTCAGCAACTCGGAGCAGAGCCGTCAACTGGGAAAAAACCATGGTGTGTAATGTTAGCTATTTAAAGAGCGGGAGAAATATAGTTATAGGGTCTGAAAATGGACATGCAATCTCTGCAGTATCTTACAGCAAAATGTCACTAACAATGGTCCTGCCTAGAAAATAGTGAGCTGAACTCATCCTGAGGAATTTATACAAAGCCAGTTATTTTTTCACATGGAGAACAATGAAGTAAAGAGCAGCGGCCTGAGTCTTATTTATCTAAGCACCCTTTTACAGCATTTAGCATGTTTTAGATATGTTTTAGCATATCAGATAATTGGACTCTATGTTTTCTCTCCCCAAAGTATATCAGAGAAGTACAAAAGTATCTGTATAACAATGTCTTACAAAGCACGCATGTTTCTTTAGTAACTTACATTGTTCTTTTCTTCAGTATTCAGGATAGGTGGGTCAGTAGTGGCTAAACATTTTACAAGTGATTCCCAGAAGGACTGGTTCATTTTCTCGTGATTCTCCAAGTAATTGGCATCAGCAGTAAAAACCCTCTGGAAAATGTCTGGGAAGAAAAACGAGCAAATCACCGTGCAAGCAGTAGCGGTGGGTTGCGTGGTAGTGTTCCCGTGGTGCTCGGTGAAGGCGTGGTGACAGACATCGGACTCTGCAGCATGTTAGCATATAGGACAGAGAGTAGTGCTGTATTGTGTAAAGCAACTCAGTCTGCTAGAAACCAGTAGAAAAATGTCAATAGTCCATGCAAATTACCGGCGTCTCTGTGATGCTACTGTCTCAGTTAAAGCAGCAGGGGAAGTATTCCTAGCTATTTAACGGATGCTTATTCTGACCATGCTATTTTACAGACAGGCACAAAGACACCAAGGTATTGAGATATAGCTCATTAGGCATTTAATGCACAGCAAAATCTCCTTCATGCATCTAAATTCCCACAAGCACATGCCCAAGGCCTGATGAGAAGCCTGTGGAAGAGCTGGGAACTGACTGCTGGTCTCTCTTTCACAAGCAAGGAGATGGATGGAGTGTGTTTTCAGAGGAAACAAGCTTCATCATTGACTCATGACCACTCTAGCAAACACTGTTGCGTAGTGTGAATGAGCCGGAGCTTTGATCTTTGTGTGCTACCCTTACCTTGCTGTTCTTCAGTCAGATCTGGGAATGGGACATTCAAGTTCTCCATTGCTGTACCTGTTCGAAAGGGGAGAAAAAGCATATTTAGAAACAGATCAGTCTGACCTCTGTTTTTCTGTCTTATACTTGCTTTTCTGCAAACATGGCGTCTATCTCTAGGCACTTTAGTTTTGAAATCAATTCTCTGTTGCAATGGGAGTTTCACATCGTGATTCATTTACCCTCCCGGGACCCATTCTTGACTCCTCTGAGTGAGTCTTGCCTGGCTGGCCTTTGGTTATTAAGAAAGAACAAAAGCCTAATCATCATGAGTAAAACGAAAAGAAGTCCGACTTGATCATCACACTTCACATATTGTTGTTTTTTTACAACTACCAAGGTGTCTAATTAACTATTTACCACAGATGTGAGTAACTTAATAGGCCCTGTTCCACTCACAAAACAGAATGATTATTCCGTACCTTTGACATCCTTATACTTAAAATGTACCAATCGGGGAGGGGAGTAGCAACAGTTCACAGGAGAGCCCCGCAGGATTTGGAATCCTTGTCTCACAGAAGACTGCAACACTTCAACATCTGTTCTTCCCAAGTTGCCACGAAAAGGAAACTTTCACTAACTTTAGGTTTATGAATTAAAAATTTTTAAGTGTCGGTCCCAGATTTCTTGCTGGTATTTGCCACGGAAACAAAACATTCTGACATCCCCAAAATCCAACGTTTCCTTTTGTTTTGCTAAACTCACCCCAGAAATTTTGTTTTGAGGCTGTTTTATTCTGATGATGCATTTTTTTGTGGTTGTTGTGGTGCCGAAGAGTTGCCTCCACCTACTGTGGTCCAGGCATCCTGCACTGACTGCATCTCCCCTCATGCAGCATTTCAACTGAAACACTATTGTATTGAGAGATGCAAAAGGAGATTTTTGGGGAGCCTGAAGTACAGTTTTCACTATGCCGGGCGCAATAGGGAAACCATTTATACACCCACAGGTTTTCTTACAATATGACTTTTGGGTCCATTCAACAAAACACTGTCAATCAAGCAGTTTGAAAACTATTTCCTTTACATTTTCCAGACAGAAAACTGTTTCTTTTCCTACAGGCCATTTCAGTTCTCTAGAGACCATCATATCAGTCACAAAAATATTCTAATACAAAATCCAGAACAGGTCCAGTTAATATTTTCAGAAGGCTAGTATAACACACAAGCAAAAACATCTTCATTCTGGAAACAGAACAACTTTTTAGTGTGTCAGTTCTCAGGTAGAGGAAATTAGACACAGACAGACTCCAAAGTAGCTGCAAAACCCATCCCTCCTTTGGAACCAGGGTCGAGGTCCCACATTTTTGTTATGTTGGTGATGCTGGGAGCTTTCTCCTTAGGCTGCAAGTGTTCTTCAAGTGATGAGGTGCTTAGTTAGAAACTCTTTTTGGCCACTGGTTCGCTGTTTGGCTCCGGGAAAATGACATAACCTCTTTAACCACTTTTAAAGGCTAAGCCCAGAAAACTGCTTACCTACCCCTAGGTGTATTGTGAGGAAAAAAAAAAAACAAACTAATATTTTAAAAACACTTTGAAATTATTCCCGATGATGAGTCTATGCAAGACATCCACAATGGCAGATAATACCTGTTATTTAACCACCTGATATACCTGGAACAACTGGCAAGTTTTTAGACAAACAAACTTTGAACTCTATCATTTAGTCTAATAAAAGTTTTTACCTCTCCCACAAACCTTGCCTGACTTACAGCCTTTGCTGCTGTAGCTGTGGCAGCAGCACTGTGACAGTCGCTGGCAATGTGAGACTGTGAGCACCCAGCGGAATGCAGGAAACGCATCTGTCCTCTCTGCCCGGGTAAGCAACAGCTGATGTTGAAATACAGGAACCCAGCATACCACACCCTGGATAAACTCGTTCTCGGCCGCACAATAAAGAACGTAATTTCTGCGTAGTTATGGTTTTCAGCCTTTTGCAGTATTTTTCTTGTCTTCCTATTTACTCAGCTTAAACCTTGCAACAGTGTTTGCTTTTGTAAGTTAAATCCTTCAGACCTCTTTGTGGACTGCACAGCTGAAATACCAGGCCTAAAGGAACAAAATTACTTGAAATATAAATATTTCTTTTCTGACTGATGAATTCCATTTCATAAAAATATTTATAAATATCCACAGATTTTACTGTTGAGTGAAATTCAGGAGGTTTGTCTTTGGGGCCCCTAATACCTAGTGAAGGTCACTTTCACTGGCACTTTCGAGGCACGTTGCTCTTCCTGTGACATGAACCTGTCGCAGCAGCTGCCTTATGCTGGCTTTGTGTCATCCCAAAGACAAAGCGAGCAGGTAGGCACTAGCAGATCTGTCCCACTACGCACAAAGGAAGAATGGATACAACACTGAAGGCAGAGGAGACACTGTCCACCTCATTTTCTATCAGACTGATTTACCTTAAAACTGTTCATTTGCTGGCCCAAATGACCGGACTGCTCAGCTGTACCAGCAACAGAAACATATTTGCCTAATGCACTCATGCATCCCGCTCTGATAAGACCTGGATGCCACAGGAGGATCCAGGAGCAGCCAGCGTCTGCTTCCATCTCCCTTTCTGTGCCTCCAGCACAGCTAAGCCCAGTCAGCCACTAAGCTTTACGTAACTAAGGAAGTTGGGTACCTAATTTCTGTTAGACTATGGACAATTAATTCTCCTGTGGCTCTTCTGGAAAGAAAATCAGATCTAAACAAAGGATAAGTATAGGCATTTAATTATTGTATGTTTTAAAAGTGATCTAGTTGATTATACCTCATAATGAGAGAAGGATGATGATATACTGGCATTTCAGCCTGGCCATGAGCTCATTGGGGAATGACATGAACAACAGACCTCATCTTGCTTTCCCCACAGTAAATCAGAACTTAATTGCAGTGAGGTCTTTTTGACATGTTAGAATAAAATTTGTGTGCAGAGTCAGACTTCCTAGTTGTTTAGAAAGTGAGGCTAATAACTGCCATACACAGCAACATTTTGCTTAGCTGCTGAAATATATGAGTGAAATTGTTCAATGGGATAGCAAAAAATGTAAATAAAGTAAAATAAGGTTGTTTTGACTTCAAGACAAAAACCAGACAATCCTAAACCTTTTTCCTTTGAAACTACTTTTACCTTTCATTTTAAGTTATATGCTGACGCCAAATCTTGCTAAATTTTATTTTAACCATAAACATTAAATCCCTCCCTGCCCTTCTCTCAAACCAAACCAAACAAACTTCATAAAGCACACCTGCAAGTCTCAGGTTGGTCCTAGCAGTTGGTTCCACAGGAAGATGTCTTGGAGGGCTGTGGCTGTGGTGAGAGCTGGTAGTTTCTTCCAGTGAGACAACAAAAACAGATCCACGCCGGCTCAGTTTGAAACCGTTCCTACTCCAGTCTCCTCGGGCAATGCCACCAGTGAGATATTTCTGCTACTTGTCTGCTTGCCTTCCTGTTGTCAAATATAGTTTAAATGTGACAGAGAAGTAGCAAAACTCAAAGACTTTTCACTCTTTATGGTGTCCTTGAGCACAGGCAGGTGGAGAGACCCAGCGAGTGTGTGTCACTGTGGGAAGGACAGCTCCCCAGGTCGGTGTGACTATCCCCATGGGGGTGAGCGGGGAGTGAGCGCAGCCCATCAGCCCCTTACGGCAGCGCTGGCTCTTCCTTCCTCTCCGGCTCTCACAGCAAGCCCAGACACGGTGGCCGTGCTGCTGCCAGCCCTACACCCACAAGCCTGGGGCGGTTTGCTGCCTGTTTTCCAGCCACACTGGTAATATAATGGCAGCGCTCCTGTATGCATTTACATACACCATTTGAAATTACCTGGTTTGTATTTCTCCTTACGCGTCGTGTGCTCCTCTGTGCGGTCGTCAGAAAGCTCTGAAGGGAAGAAAATGAGCTCATCAGAAGCCAGAAGAGCTCACGTTTGTAGTCTGAGTAAAGTTAAGGCAAACAAATCTTCTTCTACACATAAAATGGGGGGTGTTGCCTCGAGTATTTTATAGAAAAAAAAAAATTAGAAGATGTGGAAGTCCAGTCAGGAAGACATAGAGGTTACAGAGAAGTCCTGTGCCTTGCCCCTCCAGCACCACAACCCCTCATACAGCGTCGTGACACCTCAGGGAGTAATCAACAACCCAGCTGTGTACACCAAGAGCCAGGATACAACCCTGAAACACCCTTGGTCTCGACCATAAGAAGCTCCCGAACCCCTCCCCGGCACTTACCTGCAGGGCTGTGCAGTGGGTTGGGATCCCAGGGCAGGGCGTGCGCAGCGCTGGCCCCAGCACGCGATGGCAGGCGGGCGGCCAGGTGTCGGGGCCAGCGCTGGGGCCTCACGTGGCCTGCCCTGACTCACAGCAAGAGCAGCGGTGGCTCCACGTCGTCCTCTGGCCACCGGCAACCGTGCTCCAGGCGCGGCAGGAGGAGCTGTGTGTTTTTTTTGTTTCTGCGC